AACAGGTGAGGTGTCTTTAAGTCACATATTAACAGGTGAGGTGTCTTTAAGTCACATGTGTACAGGTGAGGTGTCTTTAAGTCACATGTGTAACAGGTGAGGTGTCTTTAAGTCACATGTGTAACAGGTGAGGTGTCTTTAAGTCACATGTGTAACAGGTGAGGTGTCTTTAAGTCACATGTGTAGCAGGTGAGGTGTCTTTAAGTCACATGTGTAGCAGGTGAGGTGTCTTTAAGTCACATGTGTAGCAGGTGAGGTGTCTTTAAGCCACATGTGTAACAGGTGAGGTGTCTTTAAGTCACACGTGTAGCAGGTGAGGTGTCTTTAAGTCACATGTGTAACAGGTGAGGTGTCTTTAAGTCACATGTATAACAGGTGAGGTGTCTTTAAGTCACATGTGTAGCAGGTGAGGTGTCTTTAAGTCACATGTGTAGCAGGTGAGGTGTCTTTAAGTCACATGTGTAGCAGGGGAGGTGTCTTTAAGTCACATGTTAACAGGTGAGGTGTCTTTAAGTCACATGTATAACAGGTGAGGTGTCTTTAAGTCACATGTGTAACAGGTGAGGTGTCTTTAAGTCACATGTGTAACAGGTGAGGTGTCTTTAAGTCACATGTATAACAGGTGAGGTGTCTTTAAGTCACATGTGTAACAGGTGAGGTGTCTTTAAGTCACATATATAACAGGTGAGGTGTCTTTAAGTCACATGTATAACAGGTGAGGTGTCTTTAAGTCACATTTTATAACAGGTGAGGTGTCTTTAAGTCACAAAGTGTAACAGGTGAGGTGTCTTTAAGTCACATGTGTAACAGGTGAGGTGTCTTTAAGTCACATGTGCAACAGGTGAGGTGTCTTTAAGTCACATGTGTAACAGGTGAGGTGTCTTTAAGTCACATGTGTAACAGGTGAGGTGTCTTTAAGTCACATGTGCAACAGGTGAGATTTTTCCCCGAAACTTTTCGCCTTTTCTTCTGGTTTCTTCAGTAGAAAACAGAGATGACATCAATACTTTAGTCAACAGAATTACCGTATATACCCGTCCAACTGTTTCCCGCTTCATATAAAGTCACCAGTTGACGAGGCCAGACATTTCGATAGTATATATATCCCACTCTTGCACGCGTCTCACACATCGAATATATAACAACAGAAGGAAGACAGATATAAAATAAGACAAGATTCATTACTCATCTTCACTTCCAGTATTTATCTCCTTTCTGAAAGACATCATTACATCAGTCACTTCATTAGTAATTGCAATAGTCATTACATTAATAATTACATTAGTCATTGCATTAATTACATTAGTCATTATATTAGTAATTACATTAGTCATTATATTAGATCTGCTCCAGGATCGCGATTTTTCACACAAACATCAAATTGCAAAATAATGTAATTTGGCCAAATGAGTGTTATGTTTAACAGAATTCCGTGGATAATATATTTTTATTTATTCTTGTTAAATATGGGGTACGTCTGTTAAATTAGGTCTTTACTTAGGCCTCTGCTGGGACCAAGGTTTTGAAAAAGTCGAGAAATAGTGTGTGTGTGTGTGTGTGTGTGTGTGTGTGTGTGTGTGTGTGTGTGTGTGTGTGTGTGTGTGTGTGTGTGTCTCCGTTTTAGAAAGAAAGAAACAGCGAGTGTAAAGTTTTCTGTTTTTTATCTCCTGTCACGTTTTTATTCTTTTACCTCTTTCTCTCTCTCTCTCTCTCTCTCTCTCTCTCTCTCTCTCTCTCTCTCTCTCCTATACCTTGCCTATCCTCACCTACTCCTGCCTGTGCCAAGGATTCGTAGCACACCTCGACTGGAATGAGCGTACGTGTGGATCCCGACGAATTAGCCAGAAGCAGTAAATGAAGATTACGGGGGTGAGCCGAGGTAACTCGGAGAGGGTCTGACCCAGTAGTTAATTAAATGTTTGCACGGAGCCTAGACCGGCACACCAGCACGGGAAAATGAGGAAAGTTTGGGGTTTTCGGGAGTAAGAGAGAGAGAGAAAGGAGGAGGGTGAGGGGAGCATGAGATAGTATGAGGGAGAATGAGATAAAAAAAACATTAAAACTCTCTCTTTGAGGTGTTTTTTTGAGGTCATTGGGCCGAGACTTAACGCTGGTTTAAATGGCCGCAGTGTCTTTTGGCCTTTTAGTAAACAGACACCGTAAATATAAAATAACCCCGTACATGTGAGCGAGAAAAGCTAATGGTTGTCATAACCTTTTCTATATCCTATTTGTGTGGTTATTTATTATTACTCTAGTCACGGTATTGTGCCTTTTTGTTCTTCAGAAACCGTAGATGTAACACTCACACCTTCTCAGTTTCTTAAAAAAGGCCTAATACAGAATAACTTATCGTTGAGGTCTAACAAATGGTCTGGCCACTTCGGCTTTGTTCCAAGAGAATGTTTCTTTGTCGAAAAGTGAGGAGAGATGAAAAGGCCGGAGCAACACATTAGGACTTTGTCCCATATTAGAAAGGGTCTTCTCCCCACCCAGCTCT